GGCCGGGAGGCCCCTGCCGCCGTTGGACTTCGATTTGGACTCCTCCAGCGACGACGACGACGACGAAAACGACGACGCATCGTATCTGAAAGATTTAATCCAGAAGGCGAACGCGGAAACGGAAGCGTCCGTAATGGACCCGCGCGACGAGGGAACCGCGGACCAGTGGATCGCACGGAACGCTTCCATGGTCCGCCTCACAGGGAAGCACCCCTTCAACTCGGAGCCCCCACTCACGCGCCTCATGCACCACGGCTTCATCACCCCGGTCCCGCTCCACTACGTGCGCAACCACGGCCCGGTCCCCAAGGCGCGCTGGGAGGACTGGACCGTTGAAATAACGGGTCTGGTCAAACGCCCAACCCGGTTCACCGTGGACCGCCTCGTGCACGACTTCCCCAGCCGCGAGTTCCCCGCCACGCTGGTCTGCGCGGGGAACCGCCGCAAGGAGCAGAACATGGTGAAGCAGAGCGTGGGCTTCAACTGGGGCTCCGGCGGCGTCTCCACCTCCGTCTGGCGCGGGGTTCCGCTGCGGCACGTGCTGAGGCGCTGCGGGATCTACGCGCGTGCGAAGGGCGCTCTGCACGTGTGCTTCGAGGGCGCCGAGGATCTTCCCGGTGGCGGTGGGTCCAAGTATGGAACTAGCGTGACGAGGGAGGTGGCCATGGATCCCTCGCGTGACATCATACTCGCGTACATGCAGAACGGGGAGCCTCTGGCGCCGGATCATGGCTTCCCCATTCGCATGATTATTCCTGGCTTCATCGGTGGGAGAATGGTGAAGTGGCTCAAGCGCATTGTGGTCACTCAGGTTGAGAGCGAGAATCATTACCATTATAAGGACAATAGAGTACTACCTTCCCACGTTGATGCTGAACTCGCCACTGATGAAGGTATCTTCCTAGCTTCCTACACTCTTCTGGTGTGTGACTGTGACTGTCACTGTCACAGTCACATATCACATATCACATATCACATGTTTTCTTTTTTGTCCCTGTAGGTTGGTGGTACAAGCCAGAGTATATTATCAACGAGTTGAATATAAACTCAGTGATAACAACGCCGTGTCACGAGGAGATATTGCCCATCAACCAATGGACTACTCAGAGGCCTTATGTACTCAGAGGCTACGCATATTCTGGTGTGTTTTCACTTCTCTTCCTTTAAATTACATAATTTTATATATATTTAACATAAAATAAATACAATTTTATTATAATATTTGTGAAGGGATTGGACAAGTATATATTAACGGAATAATAATATTAATTACGAGTGTGAAAAGTAGAATAGTGTCTTGTGGGCAGTGAATAAAACCCGAAATTGGGATTATGGTTGCGGGTGCAACATGTAATTGGGTAGTGGAATTGTGGCTGTTACATGCAATTGGTGGATAGTGACTTGAAAGAAGAAAACTGTGTTTATGTCTGGATGTGGGATGTATACGTGCAGGTGGTGGGAGGAAAGTGACACGTGTTGAGGTGACATTGGACGGTGGAGAAACGTGGCACGTGTGCGCATTGGACCGTCCTGAGAAACCCAACAAATATGGCAAGTATTGGTGCTGGTGCTTCTGGTCCTTGGAGGTGGAGGTGCTGGACTTACTTGGGACCAAGGAGATTGCGGTTCGTGCTTGGGATGAGGGTCTCAACACCCAGCCTGAAAACCTCATTTGGAATGTTATGGTACGTACACATCTCTCACAAACTTACTTTCACAGATTATCAACGATTGTTTCCTTATTGATTTCTGTTTTACTTTGTTAAATAATCAATGGAGTACTAGATAGTGATAAATGTTTCGTGCTATATTGGAGTAATAATAGTACATTTTGTCTGTTTCATTAAAGCTTTTACATCTCAATTATATGGTTATTATGTTCGCTTTTATTTTTTTAATATGATATTAGCGTGCTTAATGTATTCTATGTATATATATTTTATTCAAAAAACATTTAAAAATTATTAATATTTATTATATCAACGTATCTAATTTTCAAACTTTAAACTTAACTTTTTAAAAATAATTAATTTTTAATATTATTTTTATTATTTAAAAATTTAGGAATAAAACAGTTTAAAATGTTTTTTCTTTAAAAAAAATCTTTATTTATATATAGGTATAAATAAACTCAATGGTGTAGCAAGATAAATTCATTGGTGAAAAGGACAGTTCATGATACATTAGTAACGAGTACATTAATTAATTGGAAAATTACCATCTGTTCTTAAGTATTAATTGGGTCTCATGTCTCCTCAAACCATGGAAATTAAAATGAATGGCTGCTTAACATGACGTCAACACCTGTCATTTTCACAGCCTCCTTCCTTAAGTGGAGAAATTTGGTTATATATATAATTATTGATCACAAAAATCATTGATTTGATGTAAATCTATGAAATTTTTATAAACCCTCCTATCAGTAGAAAGTTTTAATGTAATATTTTTATAAATACTTTGAAACACTTTATGACTATGTATTTGTTTAAAAAAAATAAAAAATAAAAAATAGAAGTAACATAATATAAATCAATTGAGATAATATATAATTATAAAAAAATTAATAAAATTAGAGATCAAAGATAATTACAAAATAAGAGAATAATTATTATTGATAAAGTGGATAATTAATTTTTTTTATACATTTTTTCTATTTTATGCTTAAGAGATATGATAGTAAAAAAAAAGTAATATATAATAAAAAAAAGTATAAATATCTTAAAATGTGAAAATTAAAGAAAAATATCTCATTTATATATAGTATAGATAAAATGATTAAAATAAAAGAGAGAAATATATAATATAAGACTATGATTTGGCGAAGAAAAATAAAGGTTTTATATAATTTGTTATATGATTTTATTTCATTATATCATTTACATGTCATTCTTTGAGTGGCCATGATTTTTATAAGTCAATATATATATATATATATAAGTTTTATCATATTAAAACAAATAAGTCACTATGTCTCAACAAAGACTTCACTATATAATTTCATGCAAAACAGTGATGGAGAAACTGGCGCACTAGACTAATAGTGTTAATTTTGTTGTTTTGTCATTTGTGGCTTAAAATCTTTGCATATAAGTTAGAAGAATTTTTAAAACATGAATTCTTAGCCAGTATGACTCTTACTCTAACACAGTTGAAAACAATCCTTTTCACTTCAATTTATTTTTTCTAAAAATTACAGCAGTAATGGAGATCGAACAACAATATACGTACTGATATAAATAAACCTTTGATATTTTCATATGTGTCGCTCTTTTTTTTTTTTTATCACTTTAATTACGTCACTTTTCTTCTGTGTGTGAAAGAAACATTTTGATTCGTGTTTTTTTTTAGTAAAAACCTATGAAATCTAATGAAGCTTTTTTGGTGTTATGTTATAGGGCATGATGAACAACTGCTGGTTCAGAGTGAAAACAAACGTGTGCAAGCCCCACAAGGGGGAGATTGGTTTAGTGTTCGAACACCCAACCCAACCAGGGAACCAACCCGGAGGGTGGATGGCGAAGGAAAGACATTTGGAGAAATCACAAGAGCCTAAACCAACCCTCAAAAAGAGTGTCTCCACGCCATTCATGAACACCGCCTCTAAAATGTTCTCCATCTCCGAAGTCAAAAAGCACTCTAACCCCGACTCCGCTTGGATCATCGTCCACGGCCACGTCTACGACTGCAGCCGTTTCCTCAAAGACCACCCCGGCGGCACCGACAGCATCCTCATCAACGCCGGCAGCGACTGCACCGAAGAGTTCGACGCCATCCATTCCGACAAAGCCAAGAAAATGCTCGAAGATTACCGAATCGGTGAACTCATCACCACAGGCTACACGTCAGACTCGTCGCCTAATAGTTCCGTGCATGGAAATTCTGAATTTACCTTTTTGGCCCCTATCAAGGAAGCACCCCAACGCAGCGTGGCTCTGAACCCGCGCGAGAAAATCCCATGCAAACTCGTGTCCAAAACGGTGATTTCCGACGACGTGAGGCTCTTCCGTTTGGCGCTGCCCTCGGAGGAGCAAGTATTAGGCCTACCCGTGGGGAAGCACATTTTCGTGTGCGCCAGCATGGATGGCAAGCTATGCATGCGAGCGTACACTCCGACGAGCGGCGTGGAGGAGGTGGGCTTCTTGGAGCTCCTCATCAAGGTGTATTTCAAAGGGGTGCACCCTAAGTTCCCCAACGGAGGCCTCATGTCGCAGCATCTGGACTCTCTCCCATTGGGGTCCACGGTGGACGTGAAGGGCCCATTGGGCCACATAGAGTACACGGGGAGAGGCAACTTCCTGGTCCACGGGAAGGCACGGTTCGCGAAGAAACTGGCCATGCTGGCTGGTGGGACCGGGATCACACCCGTCTACCAAGTGGCCCAAGCGATTCTGAAGGACCCCGAGGACCGCACCCAGATGCACGTGGTGTACGCCAACCGCACCGAGGATGATATTTTGCTGAGGGAGGAGTTGGATGCGTGGGCCAGGGAGCATTGCGATAGCTTCAAGCTCTGGTACGTGGTGGAATCCCCGAGGGAAGGCTGGGCCTACAGTGTGGGCCTCATCACCGAGACCATCATGAGGGAGCATCTTCCCCAACCGTCTGGGGAGGAGGAGACCCTGGCTTTGACTTGTGGGCCACCCCCCATGATTCAGTTCGCGGTGCAGCCCAATTTGGAGAAGATGGGCTACGATGTCAATAACGATTTGCTCGTCTTCTAGGTTTCTAGCTTCTGTATTAGTTGTTATTCTTTGTGCACGTGTTACTTACTATTGCTGTATCGCTTGGTTCATTCTTTGTAATTGTAAGGGTTTAACAAATATAATGGAAAATTGTATATGAACTGTGCACGTGTTACTTATTATATTTAACAGATGTTTCTAGGATGAAATAATTTAGAAAAACGTAGAGTGGGGTAGGGGGATTGTGTTAAAAGCAACTGTTTAGTTACTAAGTGGTACGATGGGTGGACAAGAGTGTGAAGCAACGAACAAGCGATGCATGGCCTTACCCTTCAGAATAGCATTAGGTCAAGAAAACTTATGTGTTGTTTGGTGCGTGGAAAGGCCACCTTACTATACATGATCCACTTTCCGCGCACACTTATATGCGTCCTTTCTCACTTACTTCGCTTTTGTCCTATTAAGGAATCTAGCTCCAATATCTTATTCACATACATAAAATATAATATTTTCCATTGCTTCTGGAGAAAAGAATCTGCCAACGTACATGCGAACATCAGCTATCTATATATTAAATTTTTAATCCAGTTTACCCTTTCTTTCTTTTTTAGCTTGTCGATATTTTCAAATTAAAAGTTACTTTTCACTGGGTTAGCTAGCTGCTGTACTGTTGCTTTTCTTTTAATTTACACAAATATAATTTAACCACTGGGTGTGGTTAAACATTTAATCATGTTAATTCCATTTGAATATAGATTAGAAATGTTTAAAGAAAAACTACGTACCATGCACAAGGATCAACCTATGTGAAAATATTTTGTTTCAACAAATAATTTTAAATTTAAATTTGAACCCTAGATGTTTAGTTGTGTTCTTCCTATATATATAGAATACTTGTAGTCTCTAAAAAAACATAAAAGAAAAGAAAAGTTCCACTAATCTGCATAAGTTGGATATTTTGTGTATAAATTCCAATATATATACTCATATAGTAAAATAAATTAAAATTACTAGAATGAATATTAAATGAAACATAATGTGATGAGAGATTGAGAGAAGTAATCTTAAACGCAAACTGTAATGTGTTTTAATATATAAAAAAATAGTTAATAACGACTTAATTAAACTATATTAATTTTTTTTTACTAACAAGTACATCAATTCAAAGTATAATTGAACTCAATTCGGCCACTTAAGAAATGCTTGAGTTTTGGCGAAAATTAATTGTCAAAATCGGTAAATATTTCATGCTAATACTATAGTTAAAAACATTTAATTAACTATATATGTAAAATATGAAGGGGGAAAAAAAGCTGTATCATTGAATTCGTTGACCAGTTTAATTAATAAATGAATGGAAAAATAAATCTATAACGTTAGGAGATCTAACTAAAACTATATCGAAGCTGCTGTCGGCGGTGGATACTCCAAGGACGAACAAAAAAAAACTATATGGAAGCTAGCTACATCATTAATCAAGCAAATAATAATAATAAAATCCACACAATTTGGAAATGATCTCCAAGGACGTTGGGAAGATCGATTGGAAATAGTCAAATGTTTACACAGCCAGCGCGTGCTTTTGTTCTTTTTGTTATGAATGGCGAAAGCAGATAGTTATTAATCTTAAAACATTGAAATCATATTTTATATTTGATTAGTAGTGCCAATCAATGACGAAAGCGGATCACTAATTTCAAAGCACTGTTTTCATATGCTATGTCAAAGGCGGCTACTTTAAACCTTAATGACAGAGAAGAAAAAAAAAATGTTCTTAGTACTTGGTAGATTCATTGATACTAGCTTGCACAATGAATCCTTCGATAATCATATTGTTATATTATATATAAGTTCAATTTCTTACATTGCTTTCTATCCTTTTCTCATTTTCTTACTTCTTCCTACAGTTTAAACGAAACACAAGATGACTTAGAAATATCTAATTCGTGATTGTTCTTAACACTACTACAAGGTATGGTCGATGCGTGTTCACTACTCATTTGATGGGAAATGATTCCTCCTGGCCATTTTGGAAAAATGATTATCTAATTTTGACTCTTTGATTTCAAAGCTTCATTGATTTAATGGAATAGCGGCAGAGTTGTATGGTTTTTTCTTTTTCACTGATGGATCATTAGGATGTGTTTGAAATAATATTAATATATATATATATATTATAATTGATTATAATGAGAATAATTTTTTTGTAAATAAATATGAAGAGATTTAATTTCGTTTTATAACATACAACAAAATAATCCGCTTCAATATATAGTAAATCAACTTTAAGAAAGAAAGAAAAAAAGTCAGTAAAAAATACTTACAAGTTTCAAACATTTTAGATGCATGCATTATTGTTCAAAATAGGGAATTTTTAAAAATTTTAATTGTTATTTTAAACATCCAACTTATTTTATAAATATATTTTTGGCTTAGATATAATTTTTTTTCAATAATTTATATTTTTTCACTTTTAATCCTTATAAAAAAAATTTTTTATTGTTTCATCCTTAACTTTTTTACAAGGTTTTAAAAATAGTCATTGTTGTCAATTTTTGTTAAAAAAAATTATGTGACAAACTAAATAAATATTATATTCGTTATATTCTATTTCATCATTGTCACGTAGATAATTTAATTTTAATTTTTGTTAGACAAAATTTAAAAACATACTTCACTGTTGCCAATTCCTCATACTCTTCACATACACCCTTTTTGAACTGTACCTGGACCCAAGATTGGATCCAGGTTGAGAGTAGTGGGGGCACTTGCCCCCACTACTATTTCACACATACATATTTTTTATTTTAAAAAATAACATTTTAAAAAATAAAAATAATATTTTAATAAAATAAATATATATTTAAATTATTATATGAATAAAATATAGATTTGTAGAAGAGATTTATTTATTTGATATCTGTTAAATTTTTGAAGAAAATTAATTCTCTTATGTGATAAAAAATACTCCTTAATAACGAATCAATTTTCTTAAAAGATTTAATTATAATATATATATATATATATATATATATATAT